CATTGCTCCAACGTGGGGCATTTTATTGCATCAACCACGGAAGAGATAATAAATTCCAGAGTGTATAGTGTAGTGCTATTGTATCTGCAGATAGTGTTAGATGTGTTATTAATAACAAGTGAAATGAGCTATGAAACCAGTACACTGCATACCTCAGCATTTCTTTAAAAAAATGAATGTTAGCTTCACTGCATATTTGTACACACATAATGTAATATGTTTGGCAAATTAAAGGGATAGTTCACTGAAAATTCCCTCATTATTTACTCACCACTCGGTGATGGAGGGATGGATGAAGTGTTGGAGTCCACAAACACTTCTGGAGTTTCAGGGGTAAACAGCATTGCAGAAGAATCCAATACAATTGAAGTCAATGTTGGCCTTTTCTTCAGAAGTGATAAAAGGCCTCCATACTGCTTGCGCTGTGTCATCCAAGTGTCAGCAAGCCCTGACATTCATATTCGAAACAAGGTCATTGTTTTTTCTGTTGTTTTATTACATCTGAAGAAGAGGACACCATTGACTTCAATTGTATGCTTTTTCATTTTTCAGTGAACTATCCCTTTAAATTCTTTGACACATTGTTGATACTTCTCTCCAATTTGAGAGTATAAGTCAACACTTACAATACATTCCTCTACAGGATAAATGGTATGGTTATATTATAGGTTATAGGTTTTGACATATGTACCTACAGGGCTTCAACTTCCATTTATTAGAAAATGAAAAGCACAGGTGCACACCTAGAGGTCCCCTAAATAAAACATACTGCTTGACACATGAACAATTAAATACACTGTACAGACAGTACATTTAAGTCATGTGAAGTTTTACCAATCTGAATGTGGCTCTTCCTTTCTCCTTTAGGTACCTGCCCCCTGAGTGTTTTGTGGTTGGGAAGGAACCACCCAAAATCTCCAACAAGGTGGATGTGTGGTCTGTGGGAGTCATTTTCTACCAGTGTCTGTATGGCCGAAAGGTAAGCGACACAAACCAGAAATAAAATAAACATTAAGCTATCATTGAGCGATAAGCCTATATTGATATTGTGATACAGACATAATACATTTGGGATTATGTCCCTATGTTGTGTAAAATGGGAATGTATGTTTTTACAGTTGATACTTGGTATGGTACTTGGTACTTAACACCAATGTAACGTGAATTTAATTGTTCTGGCAATTCCACAATTCCAACTCTGACAACGAGGAACGAGATAAAAATCTCTTACGGTATTGTCACACTTTAATGCTCAGAGCATGGTACACAAGACAAAGGTTAGTTTGTAATATGCACGCCGATGGGAAGCTGTTCTTTCTCTTTATACATTTGGCTCGTTCCTCCCCCTCTGGTTGAGGTTGTTTCTGAGCCAAAGGTCAGGATCTTCTGATGACATCAGGGCAACAATGCCTTAGTTTAGGCAATCAGGTCAAGATTCAATCAGTTGCACCGGATTCAGCATGATCAAGGTTACATTGTAAAGATTCAATCATGATCAATCATATCGGAAATGAACATGAGCATTCTGCATGATCATGATTTAATGTGTTTTTAATAACACTTCTGTTACCACACTTTACCTTCTAGCCATTTGGTCACAACCAGTCCCAGCAGGATATCCTGCAGGAGAACACCATACTGAAGGCAACTGATGTGCAGTTTCCTCCTAAACCAGTAGTCACACCTGAAGCTAAGGTAATGGACTCCCTCACATCTATGTATTTGCAACTGGCACAATAAGCTTGGTTAATTATCCCTTTCTTTTGTAATTAATTGTGTTAATTATTATATTTTCGTCCAAATATTGTCATAGTTGGTATTTGTAACTTCTCAGTTATTGCAATCTTTTATTCTTTCTCCCTCCAGGCCTTTATAAGGCGCTGTTTAGTCTACCGTAAGGAGGACCGCATTGATGTGCACCAGCTGGCCAGTGACCCCTTCCTCATGCCCCATATCCGCAAGTCGGTGGCCTCCTCGGGCACTTTGGGCATGGCCGTGGCCTCCACATCCAGCTCGTCCAACAGCAGCGCCTCGAACTGACTAAAGACTGAACAATATGAAAGAGTCAAGTGGGTGAGGGCAGCACCATTCTGTGTCCACCTTCCCATTAGCATCCCACCTTGCCGTGAAGAGTCCAAGAGAAGAGGTCGGACGACAGCAGTGGGTGCGTGAGAAGTCAAGGATGGGTTGGCAAGGGAGACCAATGTCCCCCTTCAGCACTCTCATGTCCACCCACCCCAACTTAGCTGTCCTCGCTTCTCAAAAAAGGGTGGCATTGTTCTGGGGGTCAAAGCCCTGGACGACTCACACAGCAAAGGGGCGAGGTTTGGCACTATGTTGGTTAAAAGTGGGGTTCAGTGTTTTGGATTTTTCTTTTCTGCTTAAAAAAAGAAAATAAAAAGAAGTATAGAACTGCTTCAGCTTGGCCAGATGAAAAGGACTGCGGAAGGCATCATACCTGTACGCACTCACACACATACACCCATGCATGAGCCATTCTGCTCCAAGGTAGTCTGAACTCCCCAAGCTCAAACATTTTGTTTGTTCTTATTTCCCTGAACCCAACTGAGAGAACCAGTCTGCCCTGTTATTGTATTGAACCCCAAATATCTATGGCTCCATTTTATCCAACTCGCTGTTTCTGGGTTCCTCTGCCCCACTTAAATTCCAGACCCAGATAGTTTTTGACGAGGAGGGACAGAAGCTACTATCCCATCTCCACGCTCCCCCTCCATCTCCTCGTCAAACTCCTGTGACCAAAGCTTTTAACTTCCAGCTGGTGGCAGTGTTCCACCTCCGTTTTTATAATGAATGGTTTTAGAGTCGTGTTACGTGATATGGAGTGGAAGCTGTTGAGGAACGACCCCTTTTTACTTTTTTTAACTTTTTTTTTTTTTTTAAGAACACTTTTCAATGCAACCAGTTTTATGGAGAAAACTGCTGTTTTTTCAAGTTGCCTTTAATTAGAACTGTTCTCGTTCCCCCTACCATAAACACATATTTATTTAGGTATGTTTTGAATTTATTTTTGGCCAATGAAATGCAAGGGACTGGTTTACCTTATAGTACTGTGGGGGAGATTGGGCCTTAGCAGACAGTTGCATAAACCATTAAATACTATTGGTTAAAATGTGTTTGTTCTTCTGGGTTTAATATCACAGGACTAACTTCTGTTTACAACACAGCTGACAATGTGTTCATGGGTGTGATGTCTGTTCTTAGTTTCCATTCCTTATTCTGCATAATTGGTTTCACAGAATTGAGTAATCTGGACAGGAAACAGATGGGATATTTAGAGTGTAATGTCACATTGACTGTAGTCTGCTCCATTAATTATTCGATTTTTATGGGTGAATATAATATTAGTGTAGTGCACAAAAAAAAAGCTTCCGTCAGGAAAAGCTAAATATCGGCTGGCTTCTTATTTGTCCTGTGTCATGTGACATGTTGAATAATATTTGACACAAATGGTATTTGAGCACACAATCCAGGATACGTGAGAAACTCGATAAGAGGCCACAAATTGGACGTAACTGTCTCACACACTTCAGCAGCTGACTCAAATGTTATTAGCATTTTTTCTTGTATAGCAAGCAGCTCACAGCAGATGTGTTTATTGGACAGGATACTTGAGCTTTAGGTAGTAAGATGTAAGACTAAAGACTAGATTCAAGTCCATTAAGACAAAGGCAAATGATGATAAATACCATAAAAGCTGTGAGCACTTAACTGGAATATTACAATTGTGTGATTGAATTCTACTCTTCCATGTCAGGACTCATGGGTCAACAACTCAGACGAGAACAGCTTTAACTTTTGTCCATATCAATAACAGTCTCAACTTTATAGAAAATAGGAGTTTGTAGTGAAAGGAAATTAGCTTGAGCAACATACTGGGTCTATTGAAAGTGTTTTATTTTGTTTAGTCTTTGGCTAAAACAAATGGACTGTAATTGAAATGACAGAAGAAAAAGAAGTCCAAAGTTGAGACTTAAACTTTAGTAAATAATGATTGAGCTTGCCTAAAATAATATTCCAGGAGCTTTTGTCTGCGAAGAAATATGCTTATAGATCAATGACTGCTAAAATGATATGAAGTATTTCCTTTTTAATCCAGCTATCCATTGGGATTCATTCAGAAAAGGCTTGCTCACTTTAAATTTGGTTCAATCAACATGGTAACCTAGGCGTCACAGCCACTTCATGCTATCAGAGTCAACAGCCAAACCCCCGACCCTAACATCACTGGAAACATGCAAGTCATTGTTTGTACAGGGTCCTGACTGCGACTAAAAGCACTACGTTAAAGAGCAAAAGAAGATTCTACAGTTAAGTAGAAACATTTTACAGTTCTAGTCATATGTCCAATATGGTTTTAAAAACAAATGGAGGGATAGTTAATGACACTGAATGTAGACTGGTGACATTTAGGGCTGCTTGCTTTATTTACGGCTTCTGACAGTGCAGCTCAGAAAAACACTGATTGAAAAAAAATCCTCCATCTGCTAAAAAAAGAATCCACACGTTTTTAATATGGTTATAAATTCATAATTTCTGTCAGAGTGAGTTTATCAGGCATTAACTCATATAATGTAGTCATACCAGAGACCTCATGTAGCAGACATGCTCCCAGATCAACAACGCAGTTGTCACACGGTGCAAACGCACCCATTGTGGCTTGGGTTTGATGTTGCGCATGAAAAGGTGCCACAATAAAGAAGAATTACTCAGTTTGTTCACCTGGTTGTCATGTTTCCGTCACGGCTGATAAAAATGCAGCTTTGTTTTAATTCGATTTTATCTTCCAGAATTCACAGAGCAAGACTGAGAACGTGCAGAGAGAGGACGTTCTCCCTGTAGTTGAAATCCTCTGACCAGCCCTCATGAAAGGAGGCCGCTGGAGGTCCCCCGGACCTCAGGTTGGGCACCATACAAACACAGACACACACACACACACACGCTTGTGACGCTACTCCATTCATTCCAGTCTCATCTGACTGAGGAGGACGGAGCTCTAGCGGTGAAACTCTTCTGCATCATCCGTCTTCTGAGTCAGACACTCGGACACTTGTTCACTTTCTTTCCTCCTCTGGTTTCCTCGGTTTTTCCTGCAGCGCGCGTGTGTGTATGTGTGCGTGTATATGTGTGCGCGGGTCTGCGTGTGTGTTGTAGCCCAGTTGTGAGCATGCAAGGCAGCGACCGAAAAAAGGAATCGAGGGGAACATGGAGAAACCGGCAACTTCTCCTGTACAGATGCACTTTATATTTATTCATCCTCAGTGTGGAGCTGCAGAGGAGCGACTCCGGTGCGTAAAGATCTCAACTCTCGCTTTAAATCTCATTCATGCTTAAAGTGTTTGTGTGTGTGCGCGTGTTTGTGTGTTGAAGCTATCGTGCATTAGTTCTGGCAACGACTTGTCATAAAACTGTAGAAAAAAGCAAAGCTTGCCAGAAAGCAGCTCTCTGTGTGTGTGTGTGTGTGTGTGTGTGTGTGTGTGTGTGCGCGCAACCATTTGGTGCTTTGGTATGCCACGAACCAAAAGTCCGAGCAGTGAGTGGAAACAGATGTGGAGAAGCTGGGGGAGGAGGGGGAGGGAGCTGGGGCTGCACGCTTATACTTTCTCTGTTTTGATTTAGATTCTATGCGTAAAAGTTTATTTAAAGCTGCTGAAGCTAAAGGGGAATGCGTCGATTTCTCTTTCTCCGTGTCTGCTTCAGTTCCGGATGATTTTTTTTTAAGTCGACATTGTAAAAAAAAAAAAAAAGAAGAAGTGACGTGGAGTGACGGCTCAGTGGACAACCTGAGGGCAGATGTGACCTTTACATCCTGTTAGACGCTGCAATTAACACATTCAGTCCAGTGAACAGCTACTACAGTCATTACAGTGTTATGGGATGGTGTGTACAGGGAAGAGCCACCCAAACAATGTTTACTGGCAAAGATCAGATTGGAAGTTGATAGCATGTATTGTTTTATCAATACATGTATATGATTTATGGATATATAATGTTCCTTTTCATACTGTTTTAACTTTAATTGACCCTCCTACGGCAATGTGAGGGAATGACATTATGAAGTGGACTGCATGAATTGTTGTAGGGCATAAAAAATAAGATAAGATAGGTTGTACCTTTATTGATCCCCATAGGGTAAATTCAGTTTGAAACAGCAGCAAAAAATAAGTTGCCTCATAGGGAGATATAGTAAGACATACAATAAGAAAAGAAACTGAATCCATGTGAATAAGATACTTATTCCATACATGTACAATATGGCAGTGAAACACTAAGTGCTTGTGCACCAAGTCCCTTAAATCCAGATTCTACTCCATATGTCCATAAAATACAGATTGTTATTCTGAATGTGTGTATTCATACATGTACATATACAGAGAAAATACATTTACAGTAAGTACCCAACTATTTAATATTAGATCTGGGTCATCTCTGGTCATCATAACACAGGCAGCTTTCATGAAACAAATTATAAACCAAAGGTTTTCTGATGTGTTATCATTTAATCCCATTGATCTCTAAGCAGTTGTTTAGTTGTTAAGTTGTCATGTTAATGTCCCATGTTTTTTTAAACACTGAAATAATGTGGGTTTACACACTTGCTCTTCACACTCTCTTCCTAAGACAGATCCTAATTTATCTGAAGCTGTTCATTTCAAAATGACCGGCCCCCATCTGCCAACAAACTCCCCTGAGAATGTCTTTTCAATCACTCTAAATCCGAATGGTGGAGACGCAAAGGGATACAAGGATTTGTTCATTTGTTTTTACCAAATGTTGCCTCTTTGGATTTGTTCTCTTCTTTTCTCACCCAGCAGAGTTTAACAGTGAATATATACAGTATATATATCTGTGATCTGCAGAAGCTCAGCGTGTTGCTATGACCTTTCTTCTACTGTTCATTATCAAAAGACAACATTTCTCTTTGATTCATCTGTGGCAAACAATGGATGAAAGCTGAACTGTGACACTGATGATACTCAGGATTATTTATATGAAATTCAGATATTCTCTCCTGGTGTATGACTGAAGCAGAACTGCAGAGTTTATTTGGGCATGAGAGAAATTTAAAAGGCTGTGGGATGACAGTGAGTCTCCAGAAGCTCCAGTTGGGCTGCATGAGTGACACAATAACTATCTGAATATAAGTTCAATATCGATCAATATAAATCAAATAAAACATTTTTAACTGTCTGACTTCATCCACTCCCACTCTGGAGCAAAAAGCAGTCTTTAAACTAATAACTAATCCCTTGGCATTTATTGAAATCAACTAAAATTAGTTTTTTTATCGTGATGACATTTTTGGTTAGATCGCCCAGCTCCTGTGCCCAGACAGTACAGTAAGATGTCCTTTATTTTGCTGTGCTCTCAGCTCCTCCTGAGCTCCAAGCATGCTTAAACCTGCACCGTGATAAGGCGCTATCTCCATTATACTGTGCATACGTGTGGGAGTGATGGAAAGTTTTTGACAGTGTTCACTCATTCTGACTCTGGTTTCTAAATTTCCCAAAGGTTCCGGTTAAGCTCTGTTTCTGAGTGTGGCTGCAAAATGCAAATATAACCTTTTCTTCAAACGCCCCCCCTTGCTCTTCTCTCCCTTGCTCCTTGGATGAAGTAAAACCCATCCACATGTTTGGATTGCTTCAGAAACCAGACCACCATAAAACACCAAAGACACACACCCAGCAGGCTGGAATTTCCTGCCTATTTGTTGGTTGTCGTTGTGTCACACTGACCAGTTGAAGAGCAGCTCTTTTTGCTTGTGCTTCAGTTTAGATCGTTAGATCAGATACATGAATCTGGGACAAAACAATTCGGTGGAATGTGATTATCTGGCTCCAACATTGAGTCACACTCATCCACCAAACAGTGTGATATTGAGAAGTTCATTATACTCACACTATTATCTAACAATAAAAACTTGCTATTGATTAGCCACCCACAGGCCTAAGTATTGTTCTCAAACCTGATGCAACAGCAGACTGTGTTGAGGAGGTGGAGGTTCTGGGAATATCTGCCTCTCTTGGCGAGTATTGCTGGTTGTTCTTGGCCGTGGGTTTCAGTCTCTTTCTTCAGCAGGAAACTGTCTTCAGTGTTGAGGAAGAAAAAAAGAAAAAGAGGGGGTGACAGGGCAGAGAAGAGGATGAGATCACAGCTGGAGAGCTGTTGTGGCTGAGCTTTCATAGAGCTCAATGGCTTAAAGTTAATCTGGAATTCTGCACTCTCTCTGATTGCCCGGGAGTTTTCGCACATCAAACATCCCATCGTGTCCCCCGCGCAGACTGGCATTAAAACCTCTTTTTGAATTTGCTTCTTGCTGTCTGGAACTTAAGCCTCAGGTTGTCGAGTGGTTCTGCAGCTTTCGCCAGGAACTTCTCATACTGTCGTTAATACTGAGCCTTACATCCACACACTGAAGTGGATTGAACACAATGTTGTGCTGATTTTTACAAGCAGGGCTCGGGTGCGAAAAGCCGATTTCTGGTCTGTTTTCTAAAAATGCTTTTTATTTGAATGTTGAAAAGTACCAAGTGACTGAATTATTGTCATGTATGTCTCCGGCTAAACAAATATCCACAGAGTTGTTACTTGTAGCTAAATCCTGAGCTGAGTTCTAAGCAACAACCTTTTATTAGTTGTCGTGGCAGAAATCACACTGTAGCTGCAGAGCAGAGCCAATCAGAGCAGAGAGTCTGTCATAGAGGGTTTTATATGGACTATGAGGAACTGATGCAAAATATTCTGTATGATTGTAAGATCTGAAATGATTCTTCGATGAATCAGTTTTCTATGATTGTAAACATGTGGTCATTTTAAATGAGTCAACTTCAAGATTTGGAAAATGGGTGAAAGAGATTTTCACTCTTTTCTGACAATTAATTAGATTATTAAGGAAAATATTGATTATTGATAAGATAAATCAACTTTGTCACAGGATTATACAAAAGCTACTCAACTGATTTCCATGAAATTCTGTGAAGGGGTGTGAAGCAAGGAAAATCCCATTCCAATCCTGGATTGATATTTACACTTTTTTAACATTGGGAGAAAGGGAGTTGATTTGATTGATTTCTTGATTTCATTGATCGTTGCTGAATGGGACAGATGTTAATATAAAAATCTGGATCTAGTCAATTTAAATGTGGTCTCGTGAGGAAACTGTGGGCCTTTCTAGATTCTTGCTATTTTCTTGAGTCCTGGATTATGGAAAGATAGTTTGTGCTAGTTGGACAAACGTTCTACTTTTTCTGCCGTCGTGTGGGATTTTAAGGTTTTTGGTGTCCCGGTCAGACAGTACACTTGCACTGATTTCAACCTTTCAAGTTTAAAACAATAAACTGGCTGCAAACAGGCCCAGCAGCTGGGTGTTAGTGGAAGATGGATGGCTTTATAAAAAGAACAGGGTGGGGATTATATCTGATTATACACAGAGCACTTTTTCAAACTCATTCTGAGCCGCTCTGCCACTGAAGCTGTGCTGCTGTGTTTGCTGTCGACCAGACAAGCTAACGCTGCTTCTGAGAAACTCAACCACAGAGGAGGAGAGGGGGCGTGTCAGTCGTCTCTTTCAGATTACAGGGATTTTTATATGGGGGCCTTTGATGAGACTTCATTGTCTCTGTGTCCATAAAAGCAGCACAGGAGGTTTGAGTGTTTCGGCTGTGGGGTAGGAAACGAGGCATTGAGCGGACTGAAGTACCCACGCATGAGAGTCGTGTTTTTCAAGCAAATGCCCAGTGATCTCACCTATCCCACTTCCTGGCCTCTCACAGGAGCAGGCCAAGTAGGAAGGCTGAGGGTCTCACGTCAGGGAGAGGAGCTGTTGGGGATATGTTTGTTGTAGTTTTAATTTAGAGTCACTTATTTTTCTTCCTGTCTCCCAACTTCACATGCAGTCATTACCTCACACCAGCACATCCACCGTCCTGGCCTTTTGGTTACCAATCTCTAAATCCTGCAAGAAAAAAGAAAAGAAAAGAAAAGAAAAACAGAAGTGAAGGAAAACCAGAGAAAGGGTGTTGGGTTTTGTTCCCGAAATTCCAGTCACTCGGTCTGGCGTCCAGCCACTGCTGCGGATGTGTCAAGTTCAACACATTTTTTTCAGTAACTCGCTATTTTTTGTTAACATCTTTATTTATTTTGGATGTCAGGACCATGCAGGAGAATACAGTAAGGCTCTGTGGGTAACACCTCACGAGCAGATATAGCTCCATGGAGAATCAGACCCAAGTAAAAGACATCAGTGTGCGGTGGGGAGAAGTCTGCAGAGTGAAAACAGTTAGTCATTTTACCCCTGAGGACCATTACAGTTTCATCATATTAATCAAATTCACACTTGTTAACATTCACTTACACGAGTCAAATGCATGGATGAGTCACTGCACAGATTCCCATGATGGTCTCATCACATATTCCAGCACCGCTCTCTCTCCGCAGTTTAAAGCAGAAGAAATACACACCACAAGCTATTGAACAAGGAGAGAGGCTATTCCAGGTCAAACCGAGGAATGAGGTTATTTCTTGAGATGCACCGTGAAATACTTCAACCCTGATTCCTAACCTTACATTAAAAACATGTGCAACCGCTTTTCACAGTTTATAGCATGTCATTTCAATTACTTCCCGCTGAGACCCCTGCCATATAATGTGCATGCAGGATTTTAGGGTTATTACAGGATTACTAGAGGATTAATACCTCTGAAGTGCAGGTACATCAGAGTCCACTACTCAAACTAGTGGTCACCCAGCATCCCATCCAGTAATGGAGATATCGATCTGCTCCCTGACCTCTTCTCTTGCCCCACTAGCTGCTAACATGGGATCCTGTTTTCATCAGCATTATCGACTCACACCACTGTTTCCCTCTCTCTCTCTCTCTCTCTCTCTCTCTCTCTCTCTCTCTCTCTCTACACAGCCCCGCTGGACTCTGACGTGTTTGCTTTCTTCCATGAGGGCGAAAACGGATGCCTGGGGGTGCAGGATCACTCCCTCGTCCTGTCAAAATCCTGTGAGGAAGACAACCAGCGCTGGCAGTGGGTGACCCGAGGACGCCTGCTCAACCTGGGCTCCTCGCTTTGCCTGGGAGTGACCACTGGTAACTTCACCTCCAAGTCAGACAAGTCTCCTCTGGGTGTGTACACTTGTGACCGGGAGCCCCCCAGAGTACGCTGGACCTGGACCTGTGGCACGGTGCTGGAGAACCTCAACAACTACCTTCCCTCTCCATCGATTTTGAACTCCTCCTCCGCCTCCTCTCCCTCCAAGCTGAAATGGACTCTGCATGGTGGCATGCAGGACCTGTGTACCAAAATGTATCGTGGTAAGAAGCAGGATCACAGTAGCTCTGATTCATTGATTGAGTCTTTACTTGGTTCAATTCAAAATAATTAAACTTCCAGATTTCCATTCACATTTTCAAACAATACATTCTAGTCAATGCTGAGTATTAAATAGAAAATGCAATTGCAAGAGATACAATAACAATAGGAATGTGATTATTTTTATTAACCCAAAGATTTAGTAACATAATAAAATACAATAAACACTTAAAATGTACTTATCAAATAATTTCAAGTGACAAATACAAACAATGGAAGGAAGGAATAAAATTAAAGTAAATAATCAGCTGACAGGCTCACTGGTCATTGGTCACTTTTCCCAGAAGTTATAGCAGAGAGAGGCAAAGCCATGAGAAAAGTGGATATTGTGGATACGCAATTATTAGGCAACCAAAATAATATGGCCCATTACCTTGATTTCTGTGGGTTTGAATATTGTTGGAAACATTTTGGATACACAAGTCAACAAAATATATAACTCTAACTATATATAACTGGATCTAGTTGTTTTGGGACACTTTAATGAGGAATTGTTACATATTTAATCTTTAAAAGTAATAGTGAATTAAAAAATACAAAATGTGAGAAAAACAAAAGTGAGTAATGAGATACCAGACATTACACGAAATCTAAGAGTCTGCACCTCATTCAGCAATGAAATGGCCTGAAGGATCTCCTCTCCCATTAGCTGCAGTGACCAATCAGCCGCTCCTACCCTGTGTGATTCGCTGCCTCTCTGCAGCAGTTTGTCTTACTGCTGTAGGTGCCACAGCTGCATCTGATCAAATGGACGTCGCTGTGACGCTCTTCCAGGGCACACGGCTGGCTGACATTCAGAAAGCCAAGCAAAACACTGCTGGTGTTTGTAAACTCCAGTAAACACACAAAGCTGTCCTTACCCTCAAGTATATTTGTATTTATTTATAGTTTTCACTCTAGATTAAATCTGACCACGCTGGTTTGCAGCTAAGCCTCATTTCCGCTGTCAGTGCCATTCTTACCCGCATCGAATGTCATGGTTATTCGTTGACGAACTTCGCTGTAGCTGTACGACTTTCTGCTCTACAGTGATTCTTCTCACCCTCTTTTATTTTATTTTGGCAACGGAGCTGTGGCACTTGGTACATTGACATATTTAACTGTCATGTGCCGATCTTCACAAGTTTCTTTGTGGAGTCAACTCGCTGCTGGAGAGGAATACCTCTGACATTAGTCAACTGGGGGAGCAGCTCCACTGCAGCCAGACAGTGGTGGAGCACAGGGGGAAGTCAGGGAGGGAGCTTCAGAAATCTTTCCTCCCTCATTTAACATGTCTGCCCTACTTTCCATTGGCCTAACGTGTTTTGGTAACACTACAGATCCTGCCTCCCACTCTTTCTCCCCCTCTCCCCCTCTCTCTCCCTCTCCCTCACTGTTGGCCTTCTCTTCGCACCAAACATTGGTGGAAAGAACGAATGGACTCTTTTTCGATGACCTCAGACAATTTCGAAACTGCAGAAATCAGATATAGATTATTAAATAGAATTCGCCAAGGCCCAAGAGTTCCCTCATGAAATCACAGTTAAATTCACTATATCCGTCCCCTGATCAGGATGTGCACAAAAATTGAATAGGTTCTTTCTTGACCCCCCCCCATCCATCCCTCCACCAAATTTCATGGTAATCCGTTCAGTAGTTTTTGTATATTCCTGCTAAATAACAAATAAACAAAAAGCATAACCTCCTTGATTGAAATACAAATATTCAAAAAGGTATTGCTTTCTTTACATTCAAAATAAAATTCACAAATAAAATTAAACTTAAACATTTCTTATGTAACTTCAGCTGCTAGGAGCGGATCAATAAAATCAATAACAAAAGACTTAGTTTGGTGATGTCATGAAGCAACATGGGATCACTGCTAAAAGAAACTGCTTTAGAATATAAATATTTAAATCTAGACTTTTTTTTCTAAATCCACAGCTGCTGATTTTCATGTAAACTTCATAATGAAAATCTTGAGTTTTCCTCATAATCTGCCTTTATTTATTTGTTTGCCCCTCCCTCTGCTGACCACTGGTTGACTTTGTTGTTTTGACTGGAATATCATCCTCTGTTTGATTATACGAGTCGCTGAGAAAACAGATAAGGTATTTCAGTTCAGCACAGCTCGCAGCCATAACTTTAGGCAACTCAAGCGAATCAGGGATTTACAGTCTCCCCCTCTCTTTTCCCGACAGAGATCTACACCATCCAGGGCAACTCTCACGGCCGGCCCTGCTACCTGCCCTTTCTGTACGATGGCCAGTGGTTCCACAGCTGCACCAGTATCGGCCGTGAGGACGGTCACCTCTGGTGCGCCACCACCTTTGACTATGGCAAGGACGAGCGTTGGGGGTTTTGTCCTGTCAAGAGTGAGTTATCAGTTTGCCAGTTCAGGACTGTACTGTTACATCTCTCAGCTCACTGGAACCTTTTTTTTTTTTTCACACAGCTTCTTTTCAACCAAATCAACTCTTGTGTCCTCCAACTTTCTCCTCTGCTCTGACTGACTCGTGTCTTTCCCTCACTCTCAGGCAGCGGCTGTGAGACATTCTGGGATGAAGACCCGCTGACGGACAGCTGTTACCAGTTCAACTTCCAGGCTACATTGTCATGGAGCGAGGCACAGATCAGTTGCCAGCAGCAGGGGGCAGACCTGCTGAGCATCACCAAGCTGCATGAGCAGACCTACATTAATGGTAAAGTCAGTGAATGTTTATATGAAGAAGGTGATCACATCTGGTGAAGCTTCTTAAATAAATGTGTTTTTTTCCTTTGCCTACAACCTCTGTGAGGTACTGATGCAGTACTGATAAAGTCTGAATCTATACCACAAAATCATCTGATTATGATCTGTTAACGAATCTTGAACATATACCTTATCACTGTCGTTACACATGTTGCTTCTGAACTGAACACAGCTGTACATCTGAACACATCAGAAATAAATCAGAAATATGAGACAATCTATAGTGACCCAGAAGTGCAAATCAAAAAAACTCATCAAAAAACAAAAAAACAATGGCAACTAAGAGAACACAATAACAAATCAAAAAACAAGACAAATGAGAAAACACAATGTCCGAACAGCCAATAAGTAAAGTCAATGTGACTTGCTGTTGTGTTTAAAAACAAAAGTTCAGGACCATTGTAGAAAAACAGTTGAAAAATTACTTATTTACACAATATACAAAAAAGGGAAGCAAATGATTCATTTGGAATTTTATTTTCATGTTTCACTTCTCGTCTTAGTGATGAATTGTACCTTGATTTCTTGAAACTTGAAATTAGCTACTTCTGGGGTCCAGTGAGACCTCGGACATGGAGGCTGTGTTACCGTGTCAACCTTAAGTTTCACAGGTTGCCTTTGACAAACTCAAAAGTCATTAGCAGTCAAATGTGCTTACAGCAGAATGTCTCACAGGCAAACACAGTCTATTTGGTTTGCTTATTCAATCTTCCAAAAGGAATTATTAATTTTTTCTGATGTTGTGTTGCCAATATATGCTCATACTTAAGCTTTTCTTACTCAGTTTTTTATTCAATCCTGCGTTGACAGATAAAATCCTTTGTGACTTGAGTGGTTGTTCAGCCTGTGAGTGAAAGCAGTGTTGAAAAGTCACCTTGTTTTGTGTCCTCCCTCTCAAAAGCACACAGAGAAACATTTGTTTCATGTTTGATATCATCTGATAGGTGTTGTCCTGCTGTTGTAGGTTTGCTGACCACCTACAGCGCTGCTTTGTGGATTGGCCTCAATGACCTAGACCTCAACGGGGGTTGGCAGTGGGTCGACTCCTCACCACTCAAATATCTGAACTGGGAACAAGGTTAGCCTGGAGTCCAAATCAAGCTTTGAAGCCTGATATTTTTGAAACTTTTGTTTCCCACAGAAGGCTGAATGTGTAGGCCTTCTCATTTTAATTCAAAGAAACACAGCCACACTCTTTTACTATTATTAGAGTATTTTGTACTTCGATCGAGGACGTTAGTGATGTTCTCATGATTTCTATGTCTCATCCTCAGACCAGCCAAATAGCGAAGATGAGGACAACTGTGTTGTGATCAGAACTGAGTCATCAGGTCGCTGGCAAAACCGCGATTGTTCTGTTGCTCTGCCGTATGTCTGTAAGAAGAGGCCCAATGCCACCCTGGACCCCTTCACTACAGGTCTGTGCACAAGCATTCATCCATTAAAGTGAAACACAGTAGCAACAGTCCAGCCAGGGTGCTATGTCCACAGCTTGATTGTTTTTTTATCTTTCTGCTCCTACAGATTCTTGGACAGATGATAAGAAGTACGAGTGTGATGTCGGCTTTCAGGCCTTCCAGGCCGGCTGCTACAGACTGACTTCAGAGAAGAGCGACTGGAATACGGCTCAGAAAACCTGCCAGAAGATGGAGGCCAACCTGGTCAGCATTCACACCCTACCGGAGCTGGAGTTCATTATTCGCAACTTGAAAAAAGGTGATTTGTTTTTTATAGCACTGTAACCTTTCCTCTGTATTACATGAGATGAAATCTTACGAATCATATTCCCTTTTCACTTTGTCTGTGTTTATTCACTGTTTCTGGCAGATTTGTGTTTCAAGCTTAAACTGGACATCTGTTACCTGCTCTCAAAGTTGGCTGCTCCACATGGATTTCCTCTTGTCTTTAAAGTGAAAGAATGAAATGTACATTTTGATTATTTGATATATTCTCAGTAGGGGCAGTCAGGGATTTTAATATTTTCTGTAAAAGTGTCGAAGAGGACAAAAACATCAGGCTTAGCAAAGACAAAAAAAGGTAACTGTACTGAAATCCAGTGGATCAGAGGGAGTCCACACACTCAGATCTATCACAACACTTTTTTTCGTGTCTGGTTGTCGTCAGCACAGAGAAATAAAACCAAATTAAAGCTTTCTGGAGGATTTTTATATCCTTTCTGTAAAAAAATATTGCTAAACTAGAATGGGATCCTGCACCAAGTTGCACATGCTCATAAATATCAGTCCACAACATGCCTGATTTTGTTCATCAAGATCCATGAATTATTCTCCCATAACTGTCTTATTGTGTTGTGTGTGTCTTCTCTCAGACATTGACCAACTGTGGATAGGGCTCCATGACACCAACATGCAAATGGACTTCCAGTGGACCGACCACACACCTGTCATCTTCACATACTGGCACCCGTTTGAACCCAATAACTTCCGCAACACCCAGGAGGACTGCGTCTCCATCTGGGGGCCCGTGAGTGACCCTCTTCACCCTCACGCTGACCCCTCCCTAAAGCCTGGGGGCCTTAGTCACCTCACAGCGAAGGGCGGTCAGCAATTCTCCTCCATTTGTATATATTTAACAGCTGTGCTCTCTCCTTTTGTTTGTGTCTTGCTTGCATGTGCAGGACGGCCGCTGGGATGACAGCCCTTGTAATTTGGCCCTGCCCTCCATCTGCAAGAAACCAGGAACAAAGAGTGATGGGAAACCTCAGCACCAGGACTGCAAACAAGTAGGGCTCTTTTTCTCTCCTCAAGATTCTGCTGAGAACATGTCAGTGATCTTATTCCAGCTGCTGACAGTCTGCAGTGTTAAGGGGAACATAACTATTATTCTTATTATTATAATATTTCAGCCATTCTTTCACCTTTGACCCCTTTTCCCAGAGCTGCCGTCCAGCTTTCACCCGTCCGCTGGCCCACTCGTCTGCCCTGGGCCTCTAACTGTAACATAAATCACTCCCTTAAGACATGGAAGTTTAACAGGCATTCCAGAAACACACACACACAGATACACACAGACTACTTTGGCTTCATGCATAGTTTTCAGAAGCCAAAATGAATGTAAAAACAAATCAAATTGAGATGTTTGTATCTTCATTCAGAAAGGGCATTCAGTTCCTACATTAACTTGCACTGTGGCGCCCATTACTTCACCCACATGGTGAAGTGAACCACATCTGGAGGATCCATCTACATCTGTCTCTGAGTGCACACTTCTTAATTCTCTCCATATGAGATTATAAAGCAGATCATACCTGACTTTTCCCTCCTGTTTACGGAAAATATTTATTGTCAAAGTTAGTGGGTTCTTTATCAGTGATGTGTGATTTATAGGGGATAATTACAGTGAGAAAAGATATGATAGTGTGTGTCTGTGTATATAAAGAAGTGTTATATATTTGTTTGTTCATGTGTTGACTCACGGTGTAAATGATCTGAAGCCGAGGGTCGTGCTGGCTCGCCGCTGCTACGTTCAACAAAGATCTCTGTATGGATGGACCATTTGTTTGGTGTAATGAATCTTTACCCCCGCTCCCCAGGGAGCGAGGCGTCACGGGTGGTAATGTGACAAGGGTCATTTGGAATGGCGCGCGCTGCAGGGCCCTGCGGCGGCGGGGCTTGTTTTCAAGCAGATGATCTCACTACACGCAACATGTGAAACAACAATGAGCGAGAGCCCGCTGACCGTCTGTGCAACATTTAACCACATGATCCCCAAAACCATTTACCCCATCCAGTGCTGAGCTCATTCCTCAAAAAAAATAACAGATTGCTCGTTATTGTGATGTCGTCATTTTGAGCAGCGACTCCTCAAACTATTGTTTTCTTCCATATAACGAAAGATAGTGATTTTATTATGAGGGTAGCTCAGCTGCTTCATGAGTGAATAAACAGCGACATCAGAAAACACTGATTGCTAATGTTGGAGGCAGCCTGTGGTGTCAGCAGCTGCTTAGGCCCCTCAGACACAAGGGGGGCCCTAAAATAATGGAAATGCAAACTCCCTGGGTTCCTGTGTTCATTTTTGTGATTATTTAAATGTTTAAGGATACAGTTGCTGAATAGTACACCAGATGTCCTTGAGATTTTTGAATTTGATATTCCAAAGGTTATTTGGTAACTAAAAAGCTTATGGTGCTACTGTCTATCGGTTTTATGCCTCCCTGCCAGCAATGGTGACAAGATCGCTGTGACCTTACAAAACGTGTTTGGTTTGTGAACGCAAAAAAACTTTCATGCAATTTCTTCAAATTTGGTACAACCATTCACTTGGACTCAAAGATAAACTGATTCTATTTGGAAGGTTAAAGGTCAAGGTCACTGCAACCTCTCAAACCTCTTTGTTTTTGCCTTGTTAATGTGTTATCTAAGACCACCTTGAAGAAATCCTTTTGAATTTGTCAAAGAAGTTCACTTGATCAACTGGTTAGATACGGGTGATGAAATGTCAAAGGTCAAGGTCAAGGTCACGGTGGCCTCCTGGCACAAGGAACATGTTTTTTGGCCTCTTGAATGTGATGTCTGCTTTCAGGGAATATCTCTCTCTTGATAAGGTGTCACTCAAAGGATTCTTGTAAAATCAAAGTGAGGGTATGGGGTTTAAAATAATATTTGCATATTTGTTCATATTGGTGAAATCAAGGTGTAATATTCATACATTTACCACACACATGGAAAAATACTCAAGATGTCTGACGTTTTGCAGAAAATAAAGAATATTTTAAGGAGATGCGAGATCAGGCGTCTCCAGCAGGTATAATATTTGAGGTTTCTGTCTAGATGCCAAACGTGGTTGCACAAAAAGCAAGAGGTGGAGCTTATTCACAAGAAGCTTCATTTTTTCTCCCTTCCGATCTCGCTCAATATCTCACCCTTCACGACCCTTGGCGTGTTGGCTGCATCTGCGCAATTCCACAGATACAGTGCAAGAGCTGACAGGAGGGATTGAGGCCAGGGAGCAGTTATTTGTGCGTGCATAGACTTGTTCTTTTTTTTAATTCTGCATTCAGGATAAACACAGCTCGTATGAGTGGACTCACGTCTGTTGGGAGTGATGAAGTCAATTGTTTTCTGGGAGATCATTTGTGTTTTTCACCTCCCCTGTTTGTCTGTCTGTATGCTAGTGAGTAGAATGTGTTTTAAAGTACTTAACAGATGTGAATGAAATTCAGTGGAAGATTAAGGGCAAAGGAATGATGTGGTTAGTATTTCAAATGGAGCGATTACGTCCTCCGCCCCAAAAAAGTTGAATGCTATTTGATGCTGTTTTCCTTTAACTGCTCCAGTTTGTTGTTGCCATATTTCCTTCCTTTGTGCTGCTACTGAAACATTAGTTGTATAAAATTTAGCACTGCATATGTAGTTTGATGCCCATGCAGGGATTTTAAATTATTGAACCAGAATGGTACTCCATAGAGCGCTACTTCATTCCCTTTAATAGTCCCTTTAAACTCAACCAAGCTGCACCAAAGTTCACATTCACTCACAGTTATCTGCTCCCTAGCTGTGTTATTGTTTCCGTCAAGATCCATTAATTATTCCTGGAAAACAGTGAAAATTTTGAAAAATCTTGCAATGTCAAAAAAGTGCAAAAAAAATTTCCTGGATCTGCCTGCCCCCTGATCTGGATCCACCAATCCACTGAGTTTTGGTGGAAGTTTCCACTCTGGAAGTGGTTGATTTCCATATCCGCCTAATTGCCTCTCCTCTTCCTCTTCCTTTCCTCTTTGTCTTCATCTTCCTCTCCTCTCAGGGCTGGAAGTGGCACAGTCCAGCTTGTTACTGGGTGGGAGAAAACCAATTCACCTTTGATGAAGCCAGGAAATCCTGTGAGGTCCACGGTGCCACCCTTGTTACCATCACAAATAGGTGTGTACAGCAAAGTCCACATACCTTGACACACATACACATTACCTTGAAAGTCATCGCTGTCTGCTTTGTCAGTGCTTGCTTTCCTTAAAGCCCCTTTTTAAACCTCCACAGGTTCGAGCAGGCCTTCGCAAACAGCCTGCTGTTCGGTCGCTCTGGAGATTCCTTCTGGATCGGCCTCCAAAATCAAAGCGGGTCTTTCAATTGGCTCAGTGGTGACAGAGTGTCCTACACCAACTGGAATCGTGAGGAGCCAGGTAGCTCAAAGACATGATTTACAGAATTACAGAGTTCAGTTGTCAAAACAGACAACTAGAAACAAATCAATCAATCAAAATCAGGTTGTTGTAAAGGATGCAAATCATGTAGTGATCAAGAGGAATCAGATTTAATTGTATATTGATAAAAATCTATTAAAAACCTTTAGATCTATTTCACCTATAATTAGCATATCAACATGTTTTTACAAGGACTACCTTCATTTTGCTTCGTCTATTAGTTGTTACCACTGTTGCTATGATGAGTTCACTCCCCTGAGGGGATTATTAAAGTTTCCTCTAATCTATCGCTGTGGATTTTCAATTGGCCAAATCATGAGGTCCATTCTGAACAAGGGCCAGTTTTGGATTTAATCTACAAAGAAGAAGCTGGATTTTACTGGATTTTTTCTCTTTTAAATGCTGATTTCCTGATTTGGCTCTATACGGCAGCATTGATAAGCTGATTATTTGAGAAAATCATTGCCTGTGCGGCAGATAAAACCTGATGTTTTCCATTTAAAACTTTATCTGAGGGTTTTTGTCATGGGATGATATTTTTAAACTGACCCTGGTTAGTACCATAGACTATATAAACTCATAATAAGGCTATAATAAAGACCAATGATCGAGTTGTAGAAGAAAGG